CTTGGACTGTTAAAATCCAGCAATCTTTGTCCAATAAACAACAAATTCTATAATCAAAGATTACATCACCAGTAGGGGTGTTGAAACTGATCGTTCCTACGATGCATCAACATGTGGACATGGACGATGTGTGACGCAACTGCTTGCCTTCATTAATAGGAAAGGAGCCATGTATAGTAATATAGAAAATTTAGGATCCAACCCATTGTGATGCACTGTGATATCAAATTGAATCAAATCGTTGACAGGATAATCAGAATAGAATTGTTAAACCAGTGAGGATGCACAGCCATAGTAGCAAGTAACAGTTTTTGTTAAGTGATTGCAACAATCTATTGCACAACAACCTAAAGACATCATAACATTTATCCAAAATCCAAGGTCCCGTTTTAGTGAAAGCATTTTTTTCCCTATTTATGGCCAAATAGTTTTTTTTTTGATAAAATGCTGGTTTTGAATTCTCCACTGTCATGTTCTTCCATCAGACCCGCTCTAACAACCCCTCCTCCCAGACTTATCTGCACAGCTGGCCTGTGCGATATGAACCGACTTGACATGAATACAATAGGTAGGCTAAAAACTTGACTGCAGCTGCACAGCACAGGGAGAGCTCTACTTTTCAGCCAATAAAAGAGGTGTTTTTGTTGCCGAAGGGAACCAAAGAGCAGTGGGAGTCCGTCTGATGGCCGTGGGGAATCAATAGAGACTTTTACAATCAGTAACACAGCACAGGCTCAGAAAAGGTCCATGGGCGCCGCTAATTGCTCTCTCTTTGTTTGCTACTAGTCCAACATTCTGCCGCTAATGTGATTAGGTCACTTTGGACAAAAGCAACTTTGGGCAAACACCTCCCATGGATGATGTGTTCAATGTAAATTTGAAACCCCAGAATGGGTCTGTGAAATCTGGGTTGGAGAATTTGATGGAATCCGATCATTATTTTTGCTCAGCCTTTTTTTTTATTTCTTTGGAAGAAAACCAACGTGCAGCTTGGGAGTGTTAGAAACACAGGAGAGACCTTCTCGAGAACATACCAGATATTATATGGCAACATCTCCTGAGCAGCATCAGGGAAAAAACAATGTTCCAATGTTGAGTCTGTAGTCACTGCTAGTAATCATATAATGAGGTGGAAATTATTCCATTTGGAAATACATGATTCTGTTACTTGTCAAGTGAAAAAATCTTTCCTTGTGTCAGTGGGTGACCGCAGGAGACGTGTCAGCACAGCCTGCTTTTGAAAGAGTTCTTTCTGAGCTCCCTTGCTTATGCTGCATTGAAACCTGCCTCAAAACGGTTAACCCTTTCAACTAACATGCAGCAATGTTAACTTTCATCCACATCAGGGACCATTCAAGATGATAATTCATAATCATGAAAGGAGGAAAAATATGACCCATTTGTCATCTTTATAATATATATATATATATATAATATATACAGACGTCTATCGTAGTGTTTTTTCCGATCTCTTAGTATGGTTCAATTGGATTTAATTTAGCCTCTTTGGGGGATTAAATACTTTGTTTTAAGTGTTAGCAGAGCTTTACAAAGTTTATGAAGTAAGGTGCACAGAAAAGCTGAGATGTCCTTGTTAGAAACAAATGATGTTAAAATGACACACTGGCTTCATTTTTATTTCTCAGTTCCATAAAGTGAAGTAATTACTTTGGATTCAGCTATTGTAACAGATCAAAGCTTTTAGCACTGGATCGTATATCTTAATGAATCGAATCATAGCCCCCCCCATAGAGAATTGGATCAGATCATCTGGTGAAGGAAAGTTTCACTCCTCTTATATATAAAATATTCTGAATATATGAGGTTTCTCCTGCAGTGACGTATGACAGTGACGGATGCAGAGAGGCTTCCCCTTTCTTTTCAATCAGCACAGTCATCTGCTTTCCTGTCACTGCACACAGTCAGTGAATTGCCTGCCTTTGTAATCTGGTCAGCTCTGTTATACAGTCCACATTATTCCCTCGGCAAACCTTTAGTGAATTTAGGTCACAATGTCCATATTGATGCTTGTTAACAAAGGCTCCTCTCTTCTATGTGTACATTTCTTGTGGCAGCAGTGAAAGGCTGGAGATACAGTTACCCCTAATGAGAAAATGGCCTTCACACCCCATTGGTTGTACCGTCCACCTGGAATCCAGGCCACTCCAGCCCAAACACGACTAAATAACCTCAGTGGGAGACTGAGTGCCTGACAGGAGAAGTGAATGTGCCCTGCAGAAGAAACATGCGTGCCAGTCTGCCTTCTTTACAGCATGACAAATTATCTGCCGCTGCTCTGCTCTCAGTGCAATGGGGGGAGTAATTGAAAGTTGCATGACACACTCCTCCTTGGGCTGGAAACACATTAAGTGTGTTAGGAAAGAAAGAGAACTGTGGTTTACTGAGGAGCTCACTGAACAATACGAGGTTACAAGAGGCCATTTAAAAAACAAAAGGAAACAAACAAAGCAATGGGCCTGTTCATGCCACAAGAAAGACCTGCCTCTCTCTCTGCATGTTGTTTAGTGGTCATCCGCTGGGCTCATGCTAATGGACAGATTGATGTAATATTTCCACAGCTAGTCCTCAAGTGTCATGGACAAATAGTAACTTGAGCAGCAGACTCTCAATCTTCATCAAACACCGCCCTGAGCTCAATGCCAGGACTTAAGTCCTTTAGAGGCGTAATGAAACGTTGCAGTGACACTCTGGCCTACATAATGGGTTTTCTTTTTCTTTCCTTGTCATGGCTAATTATGAGCTGAAAAACAGCCCGGGTCAAGATGGATGTTTTTTTCCCTCCCAGTTCAAAGGCAATGCCGTTTCCACATTGTCCCTTTTTACCCAAGCAGCAGCTCAGTAAAGTTGACAAGAGGAAACAGATCCATGCCTGGAACTCAAGTGGACCACTCAGGCCCATTGGGAGTCACTCAGGCACATGACAGCCCCGGCAGAGAACATTGTTGTATTTAGGAACACTTGGGTGTTGGTTTTGTGTTCGCAAACAATTAACAAAAAGAAACATAGAGTTCCTACAGGGGTCTGCCGAAGCCTAGAAGTGTGTTAAATGACTAAATGTTTTAATAGTATGGGCAGAAAGGTGCACATACAAAAGGAGCAACATCATTACCATTTGTCTTTTTTTAACATGGTTGCTTGACCCATAGACGGCACAATGTCCATGCAGTATTTGGCTATTTGGTTTCAAGATAGACTTCAGTCCGATTTCTAAAGGCATATCCTAGCTTCTTACACCTTTACTAACCTACAGTGATTAAGGGAAATTGACCAGATGAAGTGGCTATCTTTATATGCAAAAGGAAAGAATGGGAGTGTTTGTTTCTTTTTTGGCCTTTTTGTGACTTTGTTGTAGAGATAGGACAGTTGATAGAGTCGAAAATCAGGCAGAGAGAAAGAGTGGGGAATGAGGTGTGAGCCACAGGTTGGATTCAAACCTGGCTAACTGCATCATAGCTCCAGCTCAGTACCTCATTCACAGACATATTAGTGCAATGTCTTCCAAGTTTCTGTGCCTTAAATTGATTAAATGCATCTCCTAGAAAATCAAACTAATCTTTTGAATGGTATATTTTCTTTGATATACTTTTCCACTAAAGTAAAGGAATAAATGGTGAATATGGGGGGTTGAACATGCCCATTGTGACTTATATCATATTTTTATATGAGGTCATTGACTGGAGTCTGAGTATATTTGCTCTCTCCAGAAGGACTGGGAGTCTCAGCTGCATCATGTCAGCCCATTAAACATACTAAAGGAAGAAAAGCTGCAGTGTTTACTCAAACAGCTGCTGAACTGAGGCACTCACCTTCTGCAGCGACTTCCAAGGAGGTGGAAAAGGGCACGAGGCTGTAGTTGTGGAGTACGGGGGAATGATTATTTTAATCAACAGCAGAGGAGGCATGGGTGTTTTTGTGACTCTGTTGATAAGACAACCCTTACTCGAGGGCTTATTTCAGCTTCTCAATGAAGCAGGCTGGCAAGATTTTCTGCCACATTTTGATTGGCAAAAACATTTTTGAATGCAGCTCCTGGATTTCCCCTAAGACCTTCTGTAACACAGTTCCACAGTTTTTAGTATCCACATTTAAAACATGTGTTTACTGATGCATTGACTTCAACATGCAGCACACAGACAGTTTGATGTGTAGCTGTGTATGACAAGAAGGTAATGACCTCCTAATTCTGTCTAAATAAAGCACATAAACATTTCTCTGTGGCTGAATAGTTGTTGATGACAAACCAATCAGATTGAGTCACTGGCCTGCTGTGTTTTTTTTTCATGTATAACAAAAGCAGCTAATGGTGAACTTCGAGAGATGAAGGCTATTTGATTTTTCCTTATTTTTGGATTAGCATTTAGATGAGAAGATGATTAACGTGCGTGTGGATCTTGGAGCCTCATATTGGCCACAGCTGATTAGCTATTAAAGCAGACGTATGTTCAGTGAATGTACAACAAGTGGAGCCCGGACTCATAATCAGCAGTGTTATTAGCTGATCATCATGCAATCCTAGTTCATTTTTCAACTACTAAAATCCAGACTCAAGACATATGCAGTATGATGAAATCTGGATACGCTTATCTTCACTTTATTCTACAATTTATTTATCAGACGCTTTTATCCAAAGCGACGTTCATCAGAGAGTAAGTACAACACAAGCGAGGATCTAGAAAAGAGGAAACAATGTCAGTAAGCGCTAAAGTCGTTGTTATCAAACAAAACCATCGTCCTTTCCATCATCAATAATGTCGAGACCATCATCATCATCATTAAGTTTGTAGGTATTCATGAAAGAGCTGGGTCTTTAGCTTTTTCTTAAAGGTGCAAAGGGTCTCTGCAGATCAAATGGAGTTTGGAAGTTCATTGGAAGTTCGACTTTATGAAATATATTTCTCAAAGCATGCTAAGTATTTTTGTAATTTCTTGTGCTTGCTACACATTATGTATTATTGACCTGGATTCATTTCTCTCTGCAGCTTTGGTGGTGAGATTTCTGACCAGACGCTTCATCTGGGAGTATGACCCAACACTAGGTAAGAGCATCCACCAGCCCTCTGCTCCGCCGTCTATATGTTTTTATACTTTCATGTTGATCCAGTTTGTGATTTCAAATTGCTTTTAGAGCATTGTGGAAGAACAAGGTGTAGAGAAACAGCGGGAGACTCAGAGATGCTCACACACACAGCGCTGTTCTCCCTGCTAGCCATGTCAATCAAAAGCTCTGTCGATCAAATCTTGTCCCTGACACCTCTTTTACTACCTCCGATGGTGGCATAGATGTGGGCTCACTTCATTCCCCCATTACGCCTCTGTGACATTTATACTGTGGGCAAGACATCCCAGGCGTATAAATATAGCATGCTACACTGGCAGTGTGTATAGGGCTATGGTCAACCAGTTACTACAGCTGCCTTCCTTTTCTTTAAGATTACCCCAATAATCTGTGCACTCCTGATACTATCCACATTACTACTACCATGGCTGCAATCATCATTTCTACTACTGTCAAAACTGCTGCTTACTTCCAAAAATGGAAGTTTTCTCTCAGATCAATAGTGAAAAAAATAGACCAGGCTTCTTTTTTTTTTTTTTGCAGCTGATGCATTCAGGGCCAATTCCCTCCACTGTAATTACAGGGCACAAAGGCATCACATCTCCTCTGTGAGGGGGCTTTTCATTTCCTGGCTGTACATGGCAGGTCAGAGCCTCCGCATTGCTCACTTGATGTTCTCTTCAACAGCGTGTCTGTTTTCAGTGATATGAGGTGCAATCATCGACATGGGAAGTCCACTCTCGGGAGCATGCTCTCCACTTTTTTAATCAACAGCCTCTACATTTAAGGACATGATGAGCACAATCCTGCAGCTATAAAGCCAAAGGGTTCACACCATATGGATATTTAATGGAATACTTTTCAAAACTGGAGCATTCATTGGAGGCAAGAGGAGCATGTGTAGACACATATAACATGTTATTATTAATAAAAGGCATGCATTTCCTTTTCTCAAAATATAGCACAACATCTTTTGTTCATCTTCCAAATACATGATCATTTTGCACTTTGATGATCTGAAATTTAACGCCAATAAAGCCACTAAATATAACTTTAAAATATACCAAGTAGCTTTCTAGCGTTAGGATTAGCTTCATACTATGTGAGTGCTGTTTAAGGTTGTTTGGATCATTTAGTATAAAAGGGGAAAAGCAGAGGAGAGTGATATGTGCCTCCTTGGTTACTACGGAGTCGGCGTCACTACTATGAAAGCACAGCTTGAAGTAAATGGGAATAACAGCACTGTTGGAGGGTGTCTGTGACCAATCGGACTGCCCGGATGAAATTCCCCATGGAGTGTTGGACACGTTATTAAAACCCTATTATGGGCACATCACACAGGTGGGGGGTGAGCGTGCAGAGTGCTGGTCTCAGAAACATAGGAGATCTGGCAGAACGTGGGCGGTACTTCATTCATCTCAATGTGCCCGCCAGTGTTTACAGTTCAGAACTCATCTCCCTTCATAATTCATTAGAAGTCTACCTGTTGAGTTTGATCAGGGCCACAAACCTGCTCAGATGTTCTTTTCCACTGTGAAGAAACACTTGTGTGTTCAGGCCTGCTGGAAAATCTATTTCTCTTAGTGCAGGCCGGGAACATGGTGAGGCAGTCACATGCCACCGTGGGGGGATTTGATTTTATGGAAACACACTGCCAGATTTAGCTGATTAGCAAATATCAGTGAGGAATTTGCACACAATTGCTTTAGCATATTGTGGGTCTCCTGAAGCAGGGGTTTCTCATACACCTCTAAAGGCACGAAGCCAAACACGTCAACTTGCCCAAGTAACTCTCACAACTACAAAAATCAGAATCAGAATCGGGTTTTATTGCTAAGTACATTTACACATTACAAGGAATTTGACTTGGTGTATTGGTGCTAAACAATTAACAAGGAAGTGATGCAGAACTAGCAACAACTTAAATAATACAGAATAAGAAGCTATTACAATATGGCAAATAGAACTTAAAAATGTAAAATATAAAATAATAAAAGACACAAAATATACAAAAGGTGCAATGTAGGAGCTGTGCAATGAGAAAATAATCTTACAAAGACTTTAAACTGAAGTTTAAAAGACTTAGTCCAACAGCCTCTCACACCTAAAGATATTTAGTCAAACTATATTTTAAAAAGGCTGGGGGGTATCTTGTTTGACCATGGTTTTAAAGACTATGGCTGTTTTAGAAACCGGCAGTTTCAACTTGCAACTGGCAGTCATACTACATAATACTATCAGTTTGTAGTCGGCAGTTTCAGAAAAAGCCAATGGTTGTGTCCAAAATCACACAGTCCCTTCTACAACTACTACTACCTACTCCCTTCGCTGCTTCCTACATGGGTCAGTTCTCTGAAGAGCATTATATAGTGAACAGATCAGCACAATAATAAAAACTGTTGGACAGTACTTGCAGTCTCACCGGTCGCCTATTGATGTCATTGCTGTCACATATCTAAAACATGAATCTCAGTGATGATATTACTAGGGCTGGGCAACGATTAAAAGTTTTAATCGCGTTAATCGCATGAGTTCCTGTGATTAATCATGATTAATCATGATTAATCATGATTAATCGCATTGTTATACGCAAAATCCAATAATGAATTGAAAAGTAGTGTATAGCACACTTTTATTGTGAATGTCCTTCTCAACTTAAACAATGTAATCACAGCAAATAAATACAAAACTAAAGCTTATTGCCACTGCAAGGGCATAATGTCATCCTGTTTGTTATATAAAAAAAAACTGCCCAGAAAATCCTGAGCCACAATCATAACATTAAAACAGGCAATTTCTGAGGTAACAGCAGAAACATTTTTCTTTTATCGGGGAGCAGCATAACCAGCCTATGTTCAGTACCAAATGTCCCTGTTAGAGTGAGGTGAAGCACAAAAAAAGTTCACTGCAGGGATTTACTGTGCAGGAGACTAGTCAGTAAAGTCCATATTTATACTAGATTTCCTTTGTAGGATCTCACTCAAAAAAAGAACCAGAAAAGTTGTCCTCTCCTTTTCATACAACTCGTGTATTCTTCTTGTGATGGTGCGTCTTGAGGGAATCTCATACCTGCCGTCATTTGTTGCAATTCTGAGAACGTTTCTTAGACCGACGTCTTCCACAACACCAATCGGCCTGCAGGCTGTAGCTATCCACTTCGCTATAGCATTTGTTAGCTTCACTTGTCTTTGTTTATCTATACTTCTCCCTGCACCTAACGTAGTCTGCCGAAGCCTCGCTCCTCTGTTTGTTTCGTTGAATGATTTGCTGGTATCAACTGAGTGTATTGCATTTAGGTGGTATTTCAAACTGGAAGTACTCTGGTGATAAGAAAATTCAACTTCGCAGTGGTTACAAATAACTTTGGCTCTGTCGACTGCGCCGTCTGGAAGAACTTTAAAATGAAAATGGCCATGTAAAAGTTCCGTACCCTTCTCCATGCTTGATTATCCGCCAGTTCTTTTCTGAGTGTTTCCTCTTTCCTGTGAGCGCCGCAGCAGTCATGCTCAGCAGTAAGCAACACACTAGGCTCGCTCACGATGGAATTTTACAAAATAAAAGCCAGTGAGCAACAGACTTTTACAATAAGAAAATAAATAAGAAAAACTGGGTTAATGCGAGATAGAATAATTGTCGGCGATAATTAATTAATTGATTAGTTAACACGAAAATAACACGTTAACTTACCTAGCCCTAGATATTACTGAGCCTTTTTCAAAAACTAAGAATGACATAGAGTGGACACAGCTGCTTTTTAGAAAACATTTATACAACTGGAAAACTAAATATGATAAGCACTTCTGAATAAAGAATCAAAAAGGGAAATTGGGAGCAATGTTTAGCAATTTTAGGACAAAATGTTGCTGTGTCCTTTTGCCAGATTCTCAACAGATTCCTGTTAGATTAGAGCATGTGATAAAAGCTTGATGCATAAAAGGCTGAAATGAGAGAAATAGGAACTCACATTCAGAACTTCAAATCTAAGCTTGCCAAGTAAAACAACCATTAATATTTCTACTTCTTTACAAGGCCAAAAAACATGATCTCAATTAGCCTAATATCAGTAAGCTTTGGCATTTGGAGATGCTGGTAATTTATTTTTATTTATTTATTTGTACATTTAATGTGTTTTATAAGTAAACCTATGAGTGGACTTTTTGCTAGTTACACGATTTCCTCCAATGAGTAATAATGCCTCTAATGAGATCATGTCGTGCAGTTTGGAGTCATATTTTGGAAATGAAGAATGTGTAAAAATCAATGTAACTTGAGCATTTTAAGAGGTCATATGGATTAACTATCAACACCAACAAACTGGAATCTGTTTTGTGTTTGGACATTATAAGACAGTCATCCACGTCTTCCACCTTCAACCAAACAGCCTCCAGACAGTGAGAGAGGTTTGAATTATGAGGGAAAGATTGCTTGCTGCCAGGAAAATAACTGCTTTTGTTTCTCTCCAAGGGCTTTAGATTAGATGTTGATGGCTGGTTAAATCATTCTTGCCTTGCCCCCTGTCAGTGCATTTAGAAACAAATACACAGAGGGGTGGACATAGACAGATCGGGTGCTGTTTGCAGCTGACAGAGTGATGACTCTTGAAATAGGATGTCCCACGGGTGGCTGTGTGAGACTCTGGTTCTCCTCCTCACAGATGCTACTCATGCCTCCAGCCAAACTGCTATAAATCGTCTCTCTGCTTCCGCCTGCGGCTCTCTGTGACATTTCGTTTACGTCACAGGAGGCAGTTTTATCCCCCCGAGAGGTGAGCGCACCTGGCACACCACAGGGTGGACGTGCAGAGACTGCAGTGACGACTCACACCAGAACAGTTATTTTTAAACTCCAGAAAAGCTATTTAAATCTCTCTCTGTGACAATGAAACAGAGTCACTTAAAATCTGAAGAATTACAAAGTAACATGATAAATTTGAACAAGGTTTTCGGATCAAATTATGAATATATTTACATTTTTGAACTGCAGTCTGTCTGGGAAAAGTGAGCCTTGTTCACCTGAATATTTTGCTACTTACCCGGACAATTCATGAAGAAACCAAGAAGTGATTTCAAGATAACTATGTAAAAGCCAATATTTTATTTTACTGCCACCATCTGTGTCTTGGAGTTCTGGGATTTTCCTACTTGATAAGAAGTAGTTTTAAGATGTGTAAACAACAAATGTCCTTTTTTAGACTAGATTCTCGTTAGACAGCTGGCAAGTTGGATCGCCAAAAGGGGTTGGCATGATACAAGAATTTTAAACTACGGTAAGATACTAATCTACGGAGCGTCGATAGCCTAGCGGTTATGTCGTGCACCCCATGTCCAGAGGCTATAATCCTCGTCGCAACGCCCGTTTGGTCCAACCTCAGCCTCATTTCCCTCCCAATATTTCCTGTCCTTCTTCAGCTAGCCTATCTATGAAGTCAAAAGGCCCAAAAATAACTTTAAAGAAAAGGAAACCATATCAAACATGTTTTGACTCCACAGCAACAAAAAGAGAAGTCCCAGGAACACAATATTGTGAACCAAAATTTACATTGCAAGCAAACTCCTGCACAGTGTCTAAATTACACAAATACCTTGTCACCTCCTCTGCTCTCTGTCTGTTTTTAAGAGATTACGTTCCCTCTGGATCTTTATGAGATGCTCAAAGGACTTGAGAATTATTAGTATTTCCTGTGAATTTGAATGGACCACCGTCGCTCTCTCTGGCTTTAGGCAACCTTTGGTTAAAAATGGACTGAGTATCTGTAGTGTTTTTTTTAAGCTTTAGTTACAGTGATGTCATCCATTGGTTTCTGAAGCCGAGTTTTGAAGTCCAACTATGGCGGTCGCCAGGTTGGAGAAATAGTCTCAAACAAATTCGTCAATTTTGTACCAGGCAAAGACCTGGAGCTTCCTGGTGAACTGCTACAACACACCTTACTGTCAATCAGATGAGCCGCAACCAATTGTGCAGAACTCTTAGCCTTCAACCATGCTGTTAACATGTTTATGTCTGTTGTCTAAATGGGCATTTCATTGTTGGTGTTAATGCCACTTTCAGGGCTTCTGAAGACAGCCTCAAGTGGAAACTGCAATAGTTTCAACTTCCACAGAGGTTTTCAACAGAGGTTGTTGGTTGGTCTTTTGCCTTTTGACTTTGCTACAATCTGATAGGCTGTTAAACATGTTAGGTACTTGTTAAATGTATCAACGATCTAAATCCATTACATGGAACATTAAAACCGTTGTGTCTGGTCACTAATATTGGTCTGAATTGTGTTCTTGGAGTGCATGTGTCTCAGTGACTGTGAACAACAAGGTTTATGACATCAGGGAAAACCGTCTTAAATTATTGCATACATGTCATCGTGATTTTTATGTTTTACAGATGATTCTATATTGCTAGATTTCAAGATTTTACAAGTTTTTTGTTTTTGTTAATGAAGAGATCATATGGCCAAAGGTAAAGGCCTCTGTACATAAAAAATATAGGTACAAGAAAATCATAATAATTTAGTGTGTTTTGGTTTAAGGCATCCAATCAAATGCTTTACAATTGGTTGCATGTGCTGCTCAACGTTTAAGTTGAAAATGATTGACTGATGGGAGGATAAAGATTAATTAAATTTCATAAAAACAAAACAGGGTGTGTTATTTTAAAATTCTGATTTCTTGACATCACAGCTTCTTTTTTTTAAACCCCTCCTACACCAGAGAACCAAGCATCATAAAAAAATGGAGATGCAGAAAGCAATTGTAAGGCTAGATTCACAAAGCTTTGACAAAGTGCCGGCTTAAGCCTCCTGGTTGAGGTGAGTGCAAAATCTGGCAGAATCCCTTTTCTTTTTCAAGGAGGGTTTGAGGGGCTTCAGTTCTTTCTGCGAGGTGTTTACACAGATGGGATTTTTACAAGGGGGCAATTCAGGATGATTACTCCTGTGCTGTCCTAAGGTGGAAAAAAAGGTCAGGGTCACCTGTGATCCTGAGCCAGGAATAAGAAGCTGTTATCCTGCTTTTCAAAGCAGCACGAGGTGAAGCACAGGGTGTCTCGGGTCACTGCAGGAGTCAGCCATCAGATTGCAGGATGATGCAAGAGAAAAAAAATGAAGCCTTTGGCTCTAAAATGCAAGATAATGATTTAATGGAAAAGGAGCAAAAGAAAATTGAAACACGATGTCCTTTGGAACACTTTGTCTATCTGAGTCCAGACATCAGCGAGTCTCCTCGTTGTTACATCTAATAAAAGCTCCCATTGGCTCCAGAAAAAAAATGGAGGTCAGTGATGTTCACATCACACATGCAGCTCTTAAAGGATCTTCTCTGGCATTTATAAACCAGGTAGCAGTCGGAAAAAGAACGGACAGGTATAGATGGGACCGATCAGATCTTATATCGGTATCGGGTCCGATATGAACATAATTTACCTATCGGATATCGGACTCGCGGGGCCGATCCACGTCACTGATCAAGAAATATGGTTGGGAACTTTAAACATTCTCGCTCCCCTTCTATATGTTAAAAAGTACAATTCTTGCACTTCAGTTTAAAAGATTTAAACTCGACATTCACGGTATCAATACAAAGAAGAGGATTGAAAAACACACTGGAGAACAGGTAACATATGTTTCATTATGTGCATGAAGACCTCACTGGACGGGCGCATGCAGTCTATGGTTGTAACGAGTCACAGGATATAAATGCCATCACCCACTCCTGCTCACGTGATATGAATATAATCTGAATATTTCCTGCTCATTCTCACATCGGCTCACTCTGACTTCACGCGTCAGAGAGCAATTTGGATGTTGCCATTTAGACATGTAGCGTGAACCTTTTGCATCGTTCTAAAGGTTTTATGAATCAACATTCACTAAACGAAGAATTCTAAAACCTGTTTCCTTTTTTTTGTCTTACAGAATCAACATATCGTCACCAAGCCAACATAGATGATGAGGTTGTTACCATGGAGATTCTGGACACTGCAGGCCAGGTAGGACATATTAAGGTTGCTTCCATAATTGTTTCCAAACCTGTGTACGCTGATGGTGTACTGTAAGCAAATAAAAACAGGTTAGTATCCGTCTCTACAAGTCATGCTGTCACTATCTTTGAGGAGAAGTATTGGTCCTGAACTCAAAAGCACCTGTCCCCCCCCCTGTACCCCCCACACACACACACACACACACACACACACACACACACACACACACACACACACACACACACACACATACACACACACACCTCATCAGACTATACTTGAGAGGTGTACAGTCCCAGTACGACTAAACTCTGAGTCAACTCGAGATGACATCATCAGGGACTTGAAACACCTTCCCTCCAGTACCTCTAAGGACACAGTGTACACACGTCCTGCTTTTCAGACACTCTGACTGACCTTTACGTTCCAAAGATAATTGGCATAACCTTTTTAGTTAAATATACACAATGCTTGAAAAAAAAACAAGACAAAAACAAAGGCATAATGGAATGCTGAAGTCTTCATAGTGACTCAGATTCACAACAACTTTTCCTCACGGCCTGATCAGCTGCTTCTTACCAGACGGATGAATTTCTGGCATGTTTGAAATTTTACTTTATGCCACGTTGTAAGAGCAGAGACAGAGTCAATTCCCCAACTTATAGGGCTTTTTCTCACTGATTGCACCAAAAATGGCACACTGCGTCTGAAGGAACCATGGCAACAACAGGCAGAATACAAAAGCTATAAACAAGGGGAAGTAGCTGCGGACCTCCAGCATCCAGGGAGAAGTTTTTTTAGCTTGCTAGTTGTCTTGCGTTTGTTGGCGAGTGTATGCGTGGGAGAGAGTGAGAGCGTTTCTCACTGCGTTTGTATTTGAGCCGTGCATATGAGACAACCTAAATACACATACAGTAGATCGGCCTTCAACTCCCTCTTGTGCTCTGCACCAAAAAATAAAAAAATAAAGGAAGATGAATGTAGATTTCTGCATTCCTGATTATGACATTTATCAAAAGGCCCAAAGATCCATCAGACCATCCAATAATCAACCTCTGCTTCATAGCAAGTGTTTGACTTTTCCTTTCCTTAAGGTATACTCCTGCACTTACTGTCTCTTATATTTGAATAGACGCTTGGTTTCGGAATTGTAGGAGAGGATTTGAGACTGAATGGCACTTTCAGATGCTAATTTCCTTTAGTCTGATAGAAGCATTCAGGGTGCTGGCCATGAGGGAGAGCTTGCGTAAGTCCTCTAGCTGAAGATAAATACACTGCAGTACTGTGTAGGTGTTCTGCTAGCGGCTGATTTCCCCTGCGACACTTGATCCAGTCATCTCTCCGTCATTACACCGTAGTCTATTTTCCTGCGGGCACGGACGAGGTCTGACTGATTCCAGACACGGCTGCGTTGGCAGTCAGGCCCCTCCTGACTCTCGCTGTATCAAACATTGTGCTTCTTCCTGTAATGATTTGTGGAGGTGGAATCTTCTTGGGTGCTCATAAATTCCAGGTTCAAAAGCCGGTCGGGTATACAAACGTCAAACTTTCTCAGCTGAGATCGGGATGCGTGTGCCTCCCTTCAGTCGAATCACGATTTAAATTCTGCCACACGACCTGCTAAATCCTGTTATAATTGCCTGTGCTGATCAGAATGTTCATGTTCCTCAGACAGCCGCAGTATTTAATTTCTGAGTTATACAGAACTAAAAAAGAATCAGGACGTAAATAAAATAAAAAAACATCCATAAGGAAACTAAATGAGCTAGGTGTGTCTACATGGCTGACAAATCCCAACATGGGTTATTTTGTAAGATCTGTTTAGTGGGTAGGGTTAGGGTAAGCGGCTAAATTAAAAGCTACAGCTAGCATCTTGTGAGGTTAGTTTAGCACAAAGACCAGTGATCCCGAGCACATAACTCCTTTGAGTTTTTTGTAGGATTAAACATAGCAAATATATTTGATCAAAAGGTAGGTTTCGAAAGTTAATTATAACCTCTGGACAGAGTCAGACTAGCTGTCTTTATGCGCAACTAATCTAAGCTAAGCTGCACTTTTTCCATATATAGCATTTATAAATAAGAGTGGTTATGAAGTCATTCCAAGTATATCCCAAAATGTCAAACCATTTCATTAAGAAACTTTGACATTGTATGTAGATATGATTGAGTTAAGCACAATATTTTTTGTTGATCTCAGGAGGACGTCCAGCAGAAGGAGGGTCACATGCGCTGGGGAGATGGCTTCGTCATTGTGTATGACATCACAGATCGGGGGAGCTTTGAGGAGGTGGGACCCCTACGAAGTCTCCTAGAGGAGGTGAAGAAGCCCAAAAATGTTCCTCTGGTCCTTGTGGGCAACAAGTCCGATCTGGACCACGTCCGGCAGGTCGGCACGGAGGAAGGCGAGCGGCTGGCGGCTGAAATGGCGTGTGCCTTCTACGAATGTTCGGCATGTGCTAACGAGGGCGGCGCCGTGTCGGAGGCTTTCCACGAGCTGTGTCGCGAAGTGAGGCGCCGCAAGGCCGTGCAGGGCAAGGCCAGACGCCGCAGCTCCACCACACACGTCAAACAGGCCATCAACAAGATGCTGACCAAGATCAGCAGCTAGGGAAGAGCCTCCATACTGTCATGTACATGTTTCGACCAATTATTGGCTGAGAAATGGACAAAATGTGACTGATTTCCTGTAGAATGTGTACGAATTGTTTCCTGAAAATGGGTACATGAGGAAGAAGATAGGCCCGCACACTCGCTCAAATGCTACAAAGTTTTAATTGATCACAACGTTTCTACCAGAGGTCTTCTTCGGGTGATAAATCAGCACATGACCCTTAATAAATGGTTGTTTTCTTGTCCAAACATTTGGGCTGGTATGGATTAAAATGAACCCGGATACAGGTGAGATTGGTCTTGTTTCTGTATAAATCATAAAAATGGCTCTAAGTTCTCAACTTTTTGGTTTCTATTTCAATTCATCTCCCTTTTGAATCACTAAAAGCAGTTAGACGGAAGGCTAATAATAATGCATGCAAGTTGTTTTTTGGAGCATGCAAAGAATGCAGCATTTACTTAAATGGAACAAAATCTGTAGGTACCTCTCTGTATTTGTATCTGTAGTGGGATATCGTGATCTTTTTCAGCCCACATGTGTTACCTGTTCTGTCGGTTGTTGGTGAAGAAGAAATAAGATCAGAGAACTACTTCAAAGAAGAAGTAAATCCACCATCCTTTACTTATGTAGACCAAACAAATCCACCGAGTTGTCAATGTGTGTTCCTCAAACCTTTTAAGAAAGTCCACAATGTTCTGTTGACATTCAATGTTCCCACAGTGGCTCCTTATGTTTGTCTAGGATATGAGTATTTCAAGAATCCAAAAGCACCGGTACAGAGCGTGTCTCAGGGCTCATGAGAGACCTTTTTTGGCCATTTTTCTGTAAAGTTAAAAAGGTCAGATTCAACATGTGACATTCCAGGGATGTTCTTCATGGCTGTTGTAATATTGTAAACAAACGTATATGTAAGATATGGTTTATAGCCTTAAGCACTGCTGTGTTGGAGGAATGTACAGAACCCTAAGTATCTACAGTTGAAGATGCTGTATTTGTTCAAATGTATTTTTTTTCCCTTTGTCGATGTGACCTGTACGATCAAAACAACCAGCTGTGCACTTGTAATTAAAACATGTGACATATCCCAACAGTTCATTTCAGAGTGAGTCAATGTGTTGTGGATGGCTTCATTGCAGCGTGCATCATGTTCCTCAGAAGCATTTTTTTAATGTTTCAATAATAGCCATTGAGATTGATATGGACGCCTTCAGCTAGACCATCAAATGCCACATTTACATAGTGACAGCCTGCAGATGGGCAGAGGAGTAACTGTTTTACATATTATTGAAATCTGACTCCTAAAAAAATTGTTTGTACCACAGGATTCATCTGGCTTTAGCTAATACTTACTTTCAGAAACTGTTTTTTAAAAACGCAACCTTTTTCCTTTTGCATGTCAAGTTATGCAACAAAAACCTTTACAAATAGAAGACATAAAAACATCCTGCCAGGTTTTCAGGCCTGTTAACGATGTAATGAAGAAGAAGGCAGACAACAGGGGGTAAGTGCTGATTTCATTAAAAAAAAGGTGACCATTCACTTCTGGAGTGCTCAACGATTGTTAGCACTTAATTAAAGCATTAGATTGAGTTGTTTATGTAGGAGTACTGAACCTCTCAGTCTGAAAACCTCGCAATTATTATCAAGCAGCCTGAAACCAAAACAAACTGCTGTTTTACCCGTAGACTGTAAATATGAATGGATGAAGCCTGAGTGACGTCACCCATCTGTTCCTGCAGGGGGCTCCGGGACTCATCTGCAGCTGGAGCTGGTGCTGAGGCGGGTTTTAAGCCTCCTGACAAACAGCTATAGCTACACGCCTATGGATAATTTGTATCATTCAAAAATAATAATAATAATAAATTCACCCTCTGTACAGTGCGTACCAGTGAGGACAATAACTAATCAGACTTATTTCATTTTATGTACCAGGCTGTAAACATGTTTATTTAAGCTGTAAAAACTGGCTGTTTTGAATGAGTGTGTATGTGACTTCAGGTGTTCCTGGAGCGCAGCCTCAAGTGGACACTCAACAAACTGCAGAATTTTGCACTTTCACATTGGCTTCATTTTTCAAAACTGGAGGTTACTGCTTGATTTGTCCACACCACTGCCATACTGAAGCATCAGCTCTCCTCCAGCGACACACCTCCAAAATGTGAAGACATTATGAATTAATTCTATCACATGTGAAGGGGTTGACCAATCAAATCAGGCCGTTTTAGGCCGCACAGGCTGCCAAAACTAGCAAAGGGGCGCTCACATGCACGTCATGTTACTTTGCTGAGCAGCAGAAGGCTCCTTGCAGGACAGAGCGTTCTAGCAAAGGGACAGAGAGAGGGCTACATATGGATGACAGGGACTCAAACTTGCACGCAGGTGAAAGTCAGGATGTAAAAATCATGAAAAGCTCATGAACAGTCAGAGTAATGTGCAGCTCTCTCTCTCTCATTTAAAGTAATTGTAGCTCGCCCATAGAACCTAGGTCTCACTCTCTCCCCGCTATCAATTAACCAGATATAATCCACTAAGGTCATCCAAAGGAGGTTTTTTTTTAGTAGAAGTTATAAGACAATGTTCTGAAACTTTTTTTTAACAATTAGTCTTTAACATCTGGAGCAATTTTTTTTTTTACTTTTATTAATAATTTTGCATCTGGTAATAAGAGCAGTGTGTGCGTCGGCTAAAAGAAGGTGAAAGCGTTTTAACTTCTGATATTACCAGGCCCAGCCAAAATCAGGATCCTGGCTCCATGCCTGATTATAACTAAACTAAAATGAAGTTAATTTACTCATGAGGACCCCTGCTGGCCTGTTCAGGTTACTTTAACAACTTTATGATTTAACTTGCATCAATCATCCTCTTTGTAATGAAACAGAATATCCACTCTGTAAATAATTTCCTCTTCATTTTGAGTCACACTCTCACAAAAACAGGCGCACACACATCTGAGGGGAAACGCTTCCTCATCGTGTTACAGCCTTTAACAAAACTGGATTGGTTGTTGGCACTGCTGCAGCTCAATATTTCATCACCCAGCAGCATTTTCTGGGCATCATGGATCTCAAAATATACAATTCATACCAAATGTTCATTTCCATTCCGTTTAGGCCTTTAAACATTTTGAATCAAACTTTCTCTCACTTCCTCAGTCAGTAGCCAAGACAATTGAAAAAGTGACTTCAAACATAGAACTGCTGTGTTAAAAAAAGAAACCTCCCACTAAATACACCCTGTGACTTCAAACAGATTGCTGACTCAGGGAAAAGAGGCAAAAATAAAAAAAATTAGTTTCTTTAGTTTGGGTTGAGCAGGAAGGAGTGGCACAGATAATGACTGGAAGCAAAAATCCCATAATAACCAGGGAAAGGAGCCACAGTGCTCCTCCTCATCCCGACCAGTTTCAGAGAGTGAACAGGACACTTCATGATCTTCACTTCAACACAACTTATTGATTTTTAAAGATGAATTATTTCCTCTTCTGATGTCCACTCTGAGTCCAGTAGCAGGACAATCTGTCCCCATTGTACTGCAGTGATTTTAAATGCTTCTGGGTAGCCTTCATCTTTGTGGTGCATGAATAAAATAGGATAATTGTATTCCCATACAGTGTGTACCCATGAGGACAATAACTAATCAGACCTATTTCCTTTTTGGGCTGCAGGACAGGATCAGGAAAAATCAACATGGGACTTCAAATCCAGCACAAAATGAAAGCTCCTCATAGTAGCTTTAAATAAAGATCCACTTCTAAGATCAGGCGTTTGGTTTCCAATGGTCCCGCAGTCTTGCTAAGGTTGGAAAGTGAAGTCCCCCCTAGAAGGAGGGGGCTGTTTTGTGCATCATCCTCACGCTGTCCTTTCATTCTGTGATGCCCTCAGAAGATGTGGGGTTGGAAGTTTGAGCCCTCAATTTCCATCACTCTGAAGACGAACATGTACGTGTTGGTGATCAAAGACTCTCTCTTCAGACAGGTGGTGGAGGTTACGCATTTCAGCGTGGGCAAATGATGGCGTACAGCACAGAGGATACAGCACCGTTCTAATTTTCAGCGGGGGTCTCTGCCTCTGAGTCAAACATGACGCATGCAATGACAGGCATGGAAAAATGCATGACTGCAACTTGTCGGGTGAGTTTGAGTTCACACAGTTCTCATCAATATAGGGGAGTCAGCAGGAAGGGACACTCAGAGAGTGAACGGGGTCTAATGGGGGAAACAGAAGGAGGAGAAGACACTTCAGAACCTGAGGAGGCGATCAGATATTTGGAGCGTGAGTGCCATACTCGATGTAGCTTCACAGCAAAGTCAGCCAAAAACATGCATGTGCTTGTGTCTCACCATCAACATGGTTGAACATGTAGATAACTTCTCCGCAAACAGGATATAAAATTACAATCCTCTTTGCCCTCTTGGGCTTCTGCACTTCTCCAAAACTGACAGCAAACATAGCAACTGTTGCATTATATTAGCGTGGGTGTCAACTCTGTTGTGGAAGGACCAAGCAACCTCCAGTCTTAAAAAAAATGAAGCCAATTCAGAAGTGTAAATCCTGCAGTTCATCGAGTGTCCGTCTGAGGCTGGCTCCATTAAGTCGCATACACAACACAGCCAAAAAAGCCAGTTTTTACAGCAGAAATTAACATGTTTACAGCCTGATACAAAAAAACAAACAGGTCTTATTAGTTATTGTCATCATGGGCAAACAATGTACGGGGTGTGATTTTTTAAACGGCTTCGTTTTGATACATGTTAACATAGTAAGGCTCAAGCTGACATAATTGACAGGTGGGCACGATGTAATGGTTCATAAGGCCTAAAACCCGCCTCAGCTCCAGCTGACTGGAGACTGAGACAGGATTTCCAGCATGGCGGCTGCTGTCGATGAGCCTCTGGAGCCCCCTGCTGTAACAGATGAGTGACGTCACTCTGGCTTCATCCATTAATATTTACAGTCTATGAGGGAAGGAAAAGCAAGAGGACCTCCCGCCTGCTCCATCAGTTTCTTCTTTGACAACACTTTTCAAGAATGATTTTTATTAAAAGGGATTTCATTTATTTTTTTCTTAAGTGTTTCTTTAGGATTTTTTGGGTGACACATATTTAAAGTTGTTTCTCTTTTAGTCCTAATGTCTGTGTATTTGATCCTATTCATTAGAGTATATCTTATTACATACTAATGTGCATTAACTTAGAAACCACAATTGTGCAAACAAAATGTACGAATCCACAGAAAAACATCATACCCCTCAGGTTCACTGGACAATCATTTCATAATTATTTAAAAGGCACAATATCATTTTAAGGTTCTGTATCTCAGTTTAGGTTACCATATTGGTGGCTTGTATGAATCCTGATAAAAAGGAACTTGTCTGTGACTTACTCACTGTTACTTGGTGACTCAGTCAGCCCTCTTTGGTGGAGAGATGTGTCCTGACTCAAGACCAGACGACCTCTACTGCAGCAACAACAACCATCTGAATTAAACCATCAAATAATCCACAAATAGTCATTAAAATCTATTTTCTTCTTAACTTTAAATGTCCACATAATTTTGTAAACAGTTAGTGGCCACACTCACTCAGAAATATCGAGCTGGGGTGTGTTTCCCGCAGGCTACCTTCCTCTTGTATTGTGGGCTGACATTAGGTAGTGCGCCAATTAACTCAGAAAAGAACAAAATAAATACGTAATTCAGGCTATTGTTACCGCTTTAAATGGTTGTAAAATGACAGAATGTATGGCTCTTAGCATAGGTTTAAAAAAATAATCGTTGTATTAACTTTACCGAACTAACTAAAACTGTTTTCACGTCTTAAGTACTCATTGCTGATTGGCTAATGGGCTTCTCAAGACAGACACCTGCCTATCAAATATACAACATGAAATGAAGAATGACAGATTCAGGGACTGCGCTCGACGTCGGAAATTAAATTAGCCACTTAGTAAAACTTTTATTTACCCATATGCCTACATGCCAAATAAATCATAGTAGGCATAGATAGTGTGACATTATATGAGCTGGACTTTTCATAATACCACACAACTTGCTTAGATCTAAATAAGAAAAATCACAATCTTAGTC